AGTGAGGTCGTCTGCCGTCAGTTTTAGCGAGGTCATGCAGAGTTACTGTTAGTGAGGTCATGCAGAGTTACTGTTAGTGAGGTCATGCAGAGTTACTGTTAGTGAGGTCATGTAGAGTTACTGTTAGCGAGGTCACCCACCGTTAGCGTTAGTGGGATTATCCACCGTTAGCGAAGTCATACACCATTAGCGTTAGCACTCTGGGTTTAAGCTTTCACTACGGCCTCCTCAAGATGCACAGCCTGGGACTGTCTGCCGTCATCAAGCAGAAATAATTCAATATTCGCCCTTTTTAATAGGTAGCAGGGATGAAAGCATAATCCTTGCTGATATTTACCTTTGATATTAGCTGCCCTGTGCCTGCAGTCCTGCCAAGCTTGTCACATGCTGTGAATTTATGCATGTTTATCTGACTCCCTCTGTACTGTGCCTGGCGGCATGGCCCCTGTTTGCTTTTCAAAATGTCAATTAAGCAGCCTATTTTGACGCTCGCACCCATGTTGATACATGGATTATACTAAATAACTTGGCCGTGGTCCATTCAGAAAGCTGTACGTTGGATTTAATTCACACTTTACTTAGGATTTAGTGTAATGTACTTTTAAAAAGGGAAAATAAAAAATTTCTCTACTGGACCATGTAATCGCTTCGTTTAGCTCATTGGGATGCTCTTGGGATGTCTTTTGAGTTCAGACTATCCCTTTTGAAGCCTTTTCAGGTCATATTCTGTCTGTATTGTGAACTTGCAGTAATTCAGGATAACAGAACCGAATAATGAAATTTGTGCGAGTTAATCTCTGAGAAGATACAGCCTGGAATATAAACACCTGTCTAATTGAATTTAAAAGTCCCCGATTCTCGTTATCGCGCCTGACTTAATTACCCACCGAACAGGCCAGGAGCCGAGTGTAATTATCCACAGCCGTCATGCGCCTCCCACATAAAGCACCAGGTGCTTTTTTCTCTCTACGATGCGAAAATCCGGCGCTTAAATGAAATGGCATATTATTCCATTAACTGCGGACAGCTTAGCCACTGGCGTGAGCTTGGACAGTTACCAGCGGCAGCCCTGGATTGCTTAATCCTCATTTTGACAGCAGGGGGCATAGTGGTTAAGATGCTAAATTTAATGAAGGGGTTATTTCAAGTTTAATTCCCAGAAATTACGTTTGAGCGAAGACTTTTGTTTTCTGGATCACTCGCTCTGGAAGGCATTTTTATTTTTTTTTGATTAGTTCTGCTATACAAATGAAACTCTTGTTAACAGTGTTAACTTTCGTTATGAGCTGTGTAACATGGTGGGACACAAACATGCTCAGAGATGCTCTGGCCTCTCTGGGCTCCTAGATCCTGGCCAACAGTGATCAGGAGATCGTTCCAGGTGTTGCGGGGCGACCCCGCATCCGCGGGCGCGGTGTGCTGGTGTGGGCCTTGTCTCACCACCAACAGTAATGCACCTAGACAGCTGAGGAAGAGCCCAGCGGGAGGTGAAGCCCCAATCGACATCTCCTTACCTGGGGGGGAGCTTGGTGGGCTATTCACAGGCCCTAGGTGCTGTCCGTGACCCTGAATTCTCTCTCCACACACTCCAGGAGGTCCCCCCCCACCTCCCGAGAACCCAGTATTCCATCCCCGTCTGCCTGAGTACTGAATTGAAAGTTCCAGTTGAATCCAACATCGATGGCACTGCTTTACTTTCGGCTAATGAGTTAACGAGGTTAACGATTTTCACTTGGATTAATTCACCTGCCAGGCTGTTTCTATTCTTGAGTTTTGCTTGTTTCATACTCATCAGGGGGAGGGTGACACCCCCCCCCCCCCCTCCCCCCCCCTTCCATTTTCGAGGGTTATTCATCTCTACCATTAAGGACCCAGCGCCTGCGTGCGTTCTTGTCTGTGGGGTGGGGGATGCCTTAGTTCAGATGCCATCGTGCCCCCAGGCTCCAGCCGAGATTAATGGAGGACGGGGGAGGGGGGCATGTCCCCCGATTTTATTTGGTTGCAGATGAATTTCTAGATTATTACTTTAGGCTGTATGTCATTAGCGTATAAATGTGTTAATACAAAAAATGAAGTCCTAGGAATAGTAGAAGACATAATTAAGGGTGTCCTTTAATTTAGCGGGCCAGAAACTTTGATGTGGCACGGGGAAACTCGGTTGTCAAGGATGCCAAGCCTCCCCCCCCCCCCTTGGCTGACTTCCTCTTCCTGTGAGATTTAATGGTGTCATGAACGGGGCTCTGCGCATTTTTGGCTTTTTTTGTGGCCTTGTCCTGCCTGTTGTAACCACACTCTCCGCTTCTATTCTGCGTGAAATTGGGTTGTGTGTGCGTGCGTGTGTGTGTGCGTGTGCGTGTGTCAGCACGTGTGGACACATGCCTGTGCCTTCCCTTTCGCGGGGCCCAGCGTGGTCACGCATGGGTGTCCCCGTGCTGGTGTGGCTGCGAGATGGGCCCGCTTTCCGCCTGGTTACCAGCCTCTCCCCTCCTATTGTGTTGCCCTTGGTACCCGCTGTGCCTCCCAAAGGCTCTCAGTGAGCTGCAGCTGCTCCCCGTGGCCCCCCCACACAGGCCAAGCCAAAGAGAGGCTGCCTGTCTGTGGGAAAAATGTTTTCATAGCAATTAGCTGGCGGCCCTGGCTAAACACGGCAGGGGAATCTGTCAACACTGATAGGAGGCAGCGCAACTGGGGATGTTTGATAGGGGAATGCGATGCCGGCGGGTGCAGCTCTGTGTGCAGGCGTACGTGCACATCCAGTGTCACGTGGAGCGACCGGCCCGGTAAACATGGTGGCTGCCCCCGGGGGTCCGGCCAGCTGATGCTTCCTTAGGGCGGAGTGAAGTGGGATGGTGAGTCAGCGTCCATCGCAGCAACATCAGTACCTCATTTAAAAGTGCCTCCAGACCTGCTGGGTGGGGGGTGGGCGGTTTGCCAGACTGGTGATATGGGGGGGTGGACATGACCGTACTGGCCACAGTGACTGGGTAAAGTCTTCACCCTACCAGTGACATTCACCCAAATGCAGTTGCTGTGCTTCCCTGCCGGTTAATGACGGGCATCAGGTGCAGCTGATTGACGGGGGCCAACAGAGAGCCCTTGATCTATGCAAATCATGCCCCAAGCTTGGGGGGGGGGACGGGGGGGGGGATAATAGGTCTCCATTCAGGGGATCGAAATGAGCCCTGTGCTGAGTCTGGTGGTTGGGGTGACAGCGGCGGTGATGACTCCTTCCTTTCCCGGCTGAAGCCGGGGTGGGGGCTCTTTCCGAGCCCACTGCATTCCCCGGACGCCCCTGCACAGCTCGCTAATCGCTAACCGCTAGTCGCCCGAGCGTCATAATCACAGAGGGGCGGGGGGAGCCGTCGTCCTATCGGATTGGCTGGGCAGAGGAGGGCCGATGTGCGGAGACGCACAGCTCCTGGCTGTCAGGCACCATCCACCTGCCACGGCGATGCCACCGTCTCCGGCGAAGGTGACAAAAGCGGCCCGTACTTCCTGTTGCCAGCAGGCATCTGGTTAGCCATGATTACCATACATTATCATACAGTCGCGTTTAATGGCACGCAGAGGTGCCCAGCTGCCTCGCCGCTATATTGAATATTTTCTGACGCGTTCCACTGGTAATACTTCTTGACGTTTAAAACTTAATTTGAGGGGGGGGGGAGGTGTGTGCCTCTCAGTGACACATGGGCAGAACCGCATAGCCACATCTGACTGGCCCCCGTCTTCCTGCAGGCTGGTCTTGATTGGGCGGGAGGTGAGGCCACTTTAATCCTCGAAATAGTGGCTGTCCAAGGAATATGGAAATAGCAGCCAGGTTTTTTTTATTATGCTTAATGCTGTTCAGGTATGTTTAATGGGAACCAGTATAGACCGTGTGGTTATTGCATTCGCGCTCCCTCCAAAGCTGTGGCTGAGGTCCATTCTTTCCTGCCCATGTGCTCCGTTAAGTGATGGGGACCCCGAGGCCTGGGTGCCGACGGACCTAACGGTGAACAAAATCAATTTCGTCCAAGAACAAGGATTAGGGGTGATAGCATCGGGCACTTAGCAGCGCGGGGCTAGGTGCGAGCCCAATGGGCGCGCACGAGGCGGCGGGAGCAGGTCAATTTCGTGACGCGGGTGGATATTTAGGGGGATAAAGGGCAGAACAAAATGGTTTCTCGCTCCTTGAAGGGATTAGGGGGGCATTATCTTATTTGCCTTTCAGAAGGTAGGTGGAATTGGTTTCCATGGAGGTGGGTGTCATGCGCGGCGAGCTGGCCCTCGTGTACGGCGGTGCGTGTGGTGTTGGCGCAGGCCCACGGCATGTAGGGAGGGGGAAGGGGGCCCCTCCGCCAGCACTCTGCGGGCACGTTCGCCGTTTTGTGTTGGAGCACAACAAAAGAGGGCATTTGCAAGCCGGGCCAAGACGGCATGAGGTGCATGCTGGGAAGTTTGGGTACAAGTGGCATTAAAATTGTGTACCAGATGTGACTTTGTATCAAATGGCTTTCTGCCTTTTTTTGCAGTGAATCCCTAAAATGCTGAAGTTTTTGCAGCCAGCAGCAGGAGCTATAGATGGGAAATGTAGGGGTTCCTTCAATAGACCCTTAGACCCTGTGCTGGTTTCTTAAGTCATGTCGCTGCATAAATGAATGTGATCTCCTTCTGGATAAACATATAATGAGATGAAGTGTTGGAAGTATGTGTGTTGATCCCTGTGTGTGCGGTATGGATTTCTGTTTTCGGGGTGTGATTTAAAGTCCCGCTGAGAGGAGCAGGTGAGAATCGATATTGGGGGGGGGGGGGGTTCGCCTCGAAATTTTCTAAGGTGGTTGAGGCCTTATCAAGCACTAGAATGCATTTTAAACAATTTTTGAGCATGGAAGTAATACTCCCCTCCCTCTTTGTCTTTTTCACAGGGAGCCCTGTCTCTCCGCCCACCCTACCCCCCTGGGTCCTTCAGTCTGGCCGCCTCTCAGGCCCGTGGTTCGTGGAGGAGCCTCTCGCCGATTCAAGATACCTCCTTAAGTCACAGTCAGGCAGTCACCCCCCACCCCACCACAAAGCTGCAGTCAGGTTTCTCCTATCAGAAATACTTTGGCTACATGTTCAACTCTAGTGCATTATAGAAATGAGGCACTTAATTATCGACGCACCACTCTCACGGCGCCCTGCCGTGCCAAAGTTTTCATCTTCGCTCTTTCAGAGAGGCTACGCTAACAGCACGAGGAAATGTTGATTTAGAAAAAAAGAGAAACTGCCAACACCCCTCATTTAAAACGATGCGAAAAAGAATCTCACGCTGCTATAGCTAACAAGGTTGGCTCTCTGCGGCTCAGCAGATTCCCCGCTCTCCGGGTGGGCCAAGATCCACCGCACCTCATCCCAGTGGCACCACCTGGCTCCATCCAAGCAGCTGTTCCCACCGTCAGGGCTGACCTGCCCACCGCAGAGCGCACGCCTCGGGAAACAGGTACCGCGAGCTCCGCCCTCTGCCCTTCACTGGGGATTTGGTGTCCCGTTGCCATGGCAGCATTAATGGAGAATTCTGACGTTCGTAGTTCTAGAATGTAGAACGTGTCCCCCTTTCGGAGTTCCGCTGCATTTCGTGGTTAGTGCACGCTACAGCTAGCAGCAGTGCATTTTTTTCTTCCCCCATTAGTAGATCATGGTGACTTTTCCCTGTACCTTCAGGCTAGACTGCCCTCTAGTGTCCCCCCCTCCCCCACACAAAAGTGCCCTTTGCTTGAGCTATGTTTCAATAGATCACAGACATTATTTGAGTCAGATGCTCTCCACAATTACTCATCAGTCCTGCTGGACTTCTACGCCTATTCAGTCAAATGACTGTAATTTTGCTTGGGTTATCTTAAGAGATGTCATGTCTCTGCACATGGGCATTAAATATACCTTGTTTTAAATCTCGCCGCGGCTGATTAAATGCTTCGCTTAAGCTGTACGCTTGTACATGTGGCTGAGGACTCGCTGGTGCAACCTCTGTGTTAGTGCAGTAGCTGTGCTGAATGGACACATTGATGTATCGACTGGTTGGTTAATCTTCACTGATTAAATGACTCGTTGATACCTTTATGCCTTTATGTCTGTTCTTGGTTGCTAGGGTTTCATAAATCTGCTGCCACGCCGGCCGATCCGAAACCGCACCACCCAGCTAGTGCCTCAGCCCTGCCCCCTTATGGTACTTCCTGTTCCAGTCACACCCCCCATATGGCGCCCTACGTCCCCACATACATATGACCAAACAAGGTACCCCACACCAAGAGTGACCATTCCCTACTAGCAACCCCACAGGCTACAGACAAACTATAGCCCAACTCTGGCTCCACACTGCCCCCATCAGGCCCCAAATGAAAAGCGCGGGTACCCTGCTGTTATAGTTATTGATGTGTACTAAAGAACCTCATTAGTCTTCACTGTAACAGAATTTTAATCTACATTTAATTGAAATTAAAGAAATTCTTTGCTGATTAAAAGCTTATTTTAATCCTAATATTGGCATTATCGTAATAATATGGTGCAAGAGCAGACGGTGACCATAGCAACAGGTTAGCGCAGCATTCTGCTACGCTACAGGAGTTGCTAATGCCGTCAGAGCTTCTATCTGTGTTCTAAAGGTCACAGACCTGGAGCAGTTTGCAGTGTTTCACAGTGTCTACAGTCTCACCCAGTGCTGCCGTCTTTTAACCCCTCCCAAACACCTGGCTCCAGCCCCCACTATCTCACAGTACCCCCCTGCAGCAAGCCCGGGCCCCCATCCGGCAAGCATATGGGAGCGAGTGCCAGACCGGCCTCCTGGCCCCGCCTCCCCCCGCAGCACAAGTGCGGCCGTTCGCCAGGCAGCCGCGCAGCACACAGGAGACGCCCGTGTGCACTGCCAAGGCAGAGTGCAAGCCCGGCGTGCACCCGGGGAGGGGGGCGCCAGCTGACCTTTCTCAGAAATCTGGCCCTGAGGTTAGTAAGCTCCCCGCCCCCACCACTATCACCCCTCGCCGCCACTGGAAACTGGACACGGTTGCGTGGCGTCGCCGTTTCCGCTGAAGATCCGCACCCGCGGTGCCGCTAAACGCAGCAGGGGCCGTAGCAGCTAAACCTCCTTACCTGGATGTTTTAGCACAGACCAACCTAAGGTGACTAATTGAAATCTTAGGGCTGTAGGAGGTGGTGTAACCTTGTGGGGGGGTGGGAAGGGAAGTGTATGGGGGGAGGAGTTTGAAATGTCAGGAGGCCAGGCGTGTCGTGTTTTATGCGCGATGCCCTGTGGTGCGACTGCATGCAGCAGTGCAGACACTGCCGCCTGGCCTGGCCGCAGGGGCTGAGGTGCCGCAGGGGCTGAGGTGCCGCCGGGGCTGAGGTGCCGCCGGGCCGGAATCCCCTCAAGGTCAGGCGGGTTCAGCCAGGGGCTGTTCATTACACTCGATTATCAGGCCCCAGATGAGATGGCGACCTGACAGTGTGCTTACAGAAATCAATACATCTGCTCAGAGTTCTTTCACAGCCCCTTCCCACCAATCGATGCGGCAGCCAATCAGAGGTCGGAATCATCCTTCCACCCCCCCACCCCCCAGCTCAAATTGTGGCTGTTTGCTTTCTCTCTTTCTTTATCCATTTGATCTTCAAACAGTAAAAGTGACCCCTTTATTTCCCATGCCGAAAGAAATGTATAATCCTAATTGGCCGATGGTCTTTATTGACAGGGTCTTTAGCCAATGGATTCACCTAGTTAGTCTTTCCTTGTTTTTTTTTTTTAATGAATCACTTAATGTCCACCTGGTTGCTTATATTTTTGTTTTTAATACATAAGTCTTTGTGGAACAACACAGTGAAATGTTTGAAATTGTGTAATTTGTCATAAATTCAGGGCGTGATGGCAGGATGTCGCCACCACATGGCGCTGTGGTGACCAGAGTCACCTTGTGATGCGTGAGCCTGTGTGTTTCCAGGGGTCTGCTGAGGATGAGGAAGCCAGGAGGTACGGACAAAAGCTGGAGGAACAGAGGCGGCTTCGGGAGAAGCTGTTACAGCACAAGGAGCTGCGGAGGCGACAGCAGGCTGAAATGCGCAAGAAGGAGCTCCTGCAGCTGGCTGGAGCACCCCCTGCAGGCTGTGAACCGCAAGTGCGTCCTCTCATGGTACATAGCCTGCCAGCTGCAGCCCCAAGCAGAGTCCAGCACCTGGCCCCACCCACCAGCGCCCCCTTCAGACTAAATGCGGCCCAGCAGGTTTCTTCAGGAATGCCCGTCTCTTCAGAGCGGCAGCTGGGTGTGACGACCTTCCTGCCGAGCCGGTGGCGATCCGCGAGCGGACCCGGCGCCCGCTGGCCTCAGAGATACAGCCCACCGCTTGACCAGAGGACCGGACTGAAACGGATCGTGACGCAGCAAGATGTCAGTCACCCTCTCAAAGTCAGGGTGGTGCAGCTCCTCGAAGTACAGGTGTGCTTTCCAGGTTCTGTTTTACTTACCCTGGGTGTGAAAGATCAAAAAGTAATAAATAAGATATGTGGGCACATGCAGGAGGTGAGGTTGCAAGAGAGAAAGGCAGGTTTGGGTAGCCAGCTCTGTAAGCATCAGCTCCCCAGCCTTCCCAGTACTTTAGCTGCTTTAACTCCTCCACCAACAGGGAGGGATGTTTGACCCACATGTTAAATGGCTCGGAGAAACTTTTTCTACAGCAGAGTGAGAACCTTGGTGGACGCAAGTGGCCGTTGCCGGACAATGTGGTGCAACGGTGAGGGGTGCTGTCAATAAAGATAACAGTGTCAGTCTTAATGGTGGGGGGGGGTCCTCCCCAGAATCGTCGCCTCCGTTGCTGGAATCAATGGCCGCCCTTTTGACAGAGACCCATCTGTGAAAGGCTGATCCACCCGAAAGCCCGCGGGCCATTGTTCTGCTGTCACTTTCTGTGCCCTGACAATGTTATCTGTCCCTCACCCCACCCCCCCACACACACACTAACCCCCACCCGCCCAGCTTTCCCCATCCAATCTCTTTCAGGTGTGCAGACGTCGATGTCTCTGAGACGCACGTTAATCTTTAATTTGGATCAGGCCGTTGCGGGACGGGGAGGGGGGTGCGGATCGGTGATACCCGCGTACAAAAAACATCGCTGGGGCCTGAATTTCATCACCGATAAGGGAAATTAATTATATTTCCCTCATCAGGAATAATGGGCGAGGCACAAAGGGCGCTCCTCGCAAGGGCGGGCCCCCTTTGTCTCCGCTGCAGAGCCCGGCATGGCGCCCGCCCGTCTAACTGGGAGCTGCCCCGTCCGCGGGACCAACAATTAATCAGTTTCCAGTGGAGCGAGCGCGGGGTGGCGGTATCACCATTCGCTGAGCCCTGGAGCACGGAGATGAGATGCACCGTATCAGATCTTTGACAGACCTTGGGAGTGGGCCGGGGGGGGGGGTGGGTAGTCGTCCTAATTGTTATTGAGAAGACAGCAAGGAGGCATGGCGTTAGGTTCCCTGGCAAACCGGTCGGTGCATACAGGGTCGCCTGGCGTAGGTGCGCGGTTGGCGGCGCACGGTTGGTGGCGCACGGTTGGCGACGCGCGGTTGGCTCCCAGCGTCCGCCGCGTCCTGACAGCATGTGCAGGTCCCTCCATTTGTCCGGCGTGGCGACGGGGCCGAGCGAGGCAGCGCGCACCGCAGTGCTCGTTTGTTTACGCCAACGAGGTTCTCATTAAGGCTGCGCCGGGAGAGGTTTCGCCGCGGGGAGGCACATATGTGGAGCAGGAAGGTCATGTGCACGTGTCGGGGGTGTGGGCTGGCGGGGGGGGGCATGGGTATGGCTCTCAAGCTCTTGAAGTTTTGTGCTGAATTGCTCATTTTGCGTCTGCCGAGGAACGGTAGCGAGGAGGGACAAAGCCTGGTGCTGCCCACTTGGCGGATGCTAGCTACCGTCTCCCAGCACGAAGCTCAGCAAAGAGAGGGTAGTCTGTGATGTTTGCTGAAATCTCAGCATTTACGTCGATGCAGTAACAACCCCGCATAATCATTTATGTACCTCGTGAAACGGCCCATTGCTTAAATGTTGGGATCTCATAAATCCTTTTTTGGTTACTGCTGTTGTGTTCGCCGGGAATTTGTTAAACCGACTTCAACTTGCGGGTGGTGTTGTTCTCTCTGCCAGGCAGCAGGGGGCGACGGGGACTCCCGCCCCAGAAAGCAGACTTCTCAAGAGAGGAATGTTACCCTGAGGAGGTGCATCCAACAGGAGCCCACGACACCTGGGGGGGGAGATGGCGAGGGAGCCCCCCCAACAAACTGGGTCAGTGCCAGGTCAGGCCCAATTTGCTGTGGGTCCTGGCCCAATTCACACCTACTGAGTACATGCAGCTTGCACTGACACGCTCCCTCTGAAAGAAGCACTTAGGGCCAATTTAGGCCTGCCTTCCTCTGATTTGCAGGTGCGACCTTTCGATAAGGTAAACGTGTTAGATGAGGACATCAGGGTTGTGTGGGGCCGGTTATCACAGCCGAGAGGAGGGCTGTGAGGGAATGTGCACGTGGCTGCACGAGAGTATCCACGGCAACGTGCGGTGCATGCGGCGTTCCTCTCGCTGACAGCGGCGGCAGACGGCAGAAGGGCAAACTAAATTGGCCGTCTGGCCCCACTCCTCGTGCTCACTGCGGGCTGCCCTGCCAGGCCACGGCGGGGGCCAGATGGGCACGGCGGCATGCGGGCGGGACTCCTGTCCACCGGAGGCCCGGGCTGCATGCCGCCCCGGTCAGTTGAAGGGCTTCCTCCGTCAGCTGCCGACGTCCGACTAAAAAGCCTGCTGATATCAGTCCGAGCCGTCGAGGTGGGATGCCGTAGCCGGCCCTCCCCCTGGGCGTTCGGACGGCCCCCCGACCTGGAAGGTTGATAGTATCAGCGCAGTTTGCTGTGAAGCCAGCTAAACCACCTCTTCTATGCTGCCTGTCAGGATTATAAAAGCACTTTTGGAGGACCGGTGTGTGTGTGTGTATGTGTGTGTGTGTTTCCCGTTTACCATGCTTTTGAAAGTTTTTCCTCACTGTATGTGTAAACTATATGGACAAAAGTATTGGACACCTGGCCAATACACCCACAGGAACTTTTATGACATCACATCCTAAATCCATAGCCATCAATATGGAGTTGGTCCCCCCTTTGCCGCGATAACAGTTGCCAATCTTCTGGGAAGGCACAGATTATTGAGTCTGGGAATTTTTGTCCATTCATCCAGAAGAGTATTTGTGAGGTCAGGACGTGAAGGTGTCCATCACAAAGGTGTTTGATGGGTGCAGGCCAGTTACGTTCTTCTACCCCAAACTCACCCAACCATGTCTTTATGGACCTTGCTTTGTGCATTGGGGCAAAAGTCATGCTGGGACATTTGGCTTTCCACTTCAGATGGGTCGGCTCAGTAAAGGTGCTGCTGAGTTTGGAGAGCGACACTGATGTAAAACTGAAGAGACGCTGATTATTCACTATGCACACGGTGTACATCATGAATTACAATGTGCAATTAGCATTCTTCTTCCGTAAAATTCCATTACGAAACCGTGTCATTCAGCTGTTCTGTAGTACTTTTTTTAAGTAGAAGGTTGTAAATTTTCAGGAATGCATCGCAATGTGTGATATTACTAAAACAGGCGTGGGCAATCTTATCCGCAAAGGGCCGGTGTGTATGCGGGTTTTCGCTGCAACTCCCTAATTAGATTACTAATTAGAGGACTGATTGGCTGAAGAGTCCTCACACCTGGGTTTGAGCAGCTGACCTACAGGTTATCCCAAAAACCTGCATAGACACTGGCCCTTTGCGGATAAGATTGCCCACCCCTGTACTAAAAATTAATGATATAGAGAATGTACCCTTTTTTCCTTCAGATAATCCATCCGCAGAACACCAGTATCTCCAGGCATCTTGACCAATCAGATGGAGGTGATGTAACCAGCTTGGTTTGGTCACGCTTTTGGCCCTTGTTCCATTAAGCCAGGGGTGGGGAACCTGATCCATGGAGGGCCGGTACGGGTTTTTGGGATGGCCTCTCAATCAGCCAATAATAAAGTAGTGGTTCTCAACTCCAGTCCTGGGGACCCACTGTGATTGGCTGATTGAGAGGCCGTCCCAAAAACCTGCACCGTCCCTCCATGGATCAGGTTCCCCACCCCTGTATTAAGCAGAGCCATGTCAGCGTGGTTACGGCTTGGGAACGACTTGCATACTTTAAAACGGAAAACCAGTGCCAAAAAAACCAGTGCTAGTGGAAAAGTGCCAAAAGTTGGAAGTACAGAATTGTCCAAAATGTCTTGGAAATCATAAAGACATGATTGGGTGAGTTTGGTTTAGAAGAACTTGAGTGGCCTGCACAGAACCCTGATCTCAACCCCATCGAACACCTTTGGGAGATTGGAAGCCAGGGCTTCACGTCCAACATCAGTGCCTGACCTCACAAATGCTCTTCTGGATGAATGGACAAAAATTCCCTCAGACACACTCCATAATCTCGTGGAAAGCCTCCCCAGAAGAGTGGCAGCTGTTATAGCTGCAAGGGGGGGTGGGGGGGGACTCCATATTGATGCCTGTTGATTTAGAATGGGATGTCATAAAAGTTCCTGTGGATGTAATGGTCAGGTGTCCCAGTACTTTTGTCCATATAGTGTACATCTCATCACATTTACAGATATGTTCTTATTGATATTTTGTCAGTTTAGTTATCTAGATCAGTGTTTCCCAACCCAGTCCTTGGGGAACCCCAGACAGTCCACGTTTTTGCTCCCTCCCAGCCAATCAGGAACACAGAATCAGGTGCACTGGGAGCTGAGAGGAAGCAAAAACGTGGACTGTCCAAGGTTCCCTGAGGACTGGGTTGGGAAACTATGATCTAGATCTTACACTTTAGTAATTAGTGTGTAAACTGCTTATCAATAGAGTAATAATGGACTCTGTTTTGACCTTTCCTGGTTAAACATTAAGATAATGAGGATGTTTACATCTGACTGCGCACTTGATGATTTTCCTTGTCATTTATTTGTATAACTGGCTGTTTTGCTGGAACTCAGCTCTAACGCTAGACACCTCCCAACCCAAGATTTTGAACTAAAAACTTTCTGGTTGCAGTTCCCCCTGCTGCTGTTTTATTTAATGACAAATGAAGCAGTATTATTTTGGACTTAAAGAGCTTTTTAAGAGGCAGCAGGTCAGCTTAAGCCCATGGCTGAGGGTACAGGCTTTGCTAAGTCTGCATCCCCTCAGATATGTCACCTAAAGGCTTGATGGGTATTGGGCACAGGTTCTGATACCATAATTGTGTGAACGACAGGTGTGTTAATCTGTGCCTTTCTTAATGCTGTGTCATTACCTGCCCTGTGTCTCATGCGTATCTGTCTGTTCCCATGGCAGATTCAGCCTGGAGAGGACAGAGGACACCAAACGTGAGTGATGAAGCTGCAACCAAGGAATGACTTGTTTAGTTTATTTAGATTAATCTTCAACTTGTTATTTTTTGATTTGAAGTATCTAAAAATGTTTGACTCTCAAAGCAGTTAATCTGAATGCCAACTTTGCGGGTCAGTCGATCACGGAGCCCTGTTTATGAAAGCTGGCCCCCTCACCACGTCATTCCAGGGCTCAGGGCTCTGGGGCGTGGAGCGCATGCGTCGAAGCTACCACTAGGGGGGACTCCAGTCTTGTGGTCCACATCAATTGTTGAAGACCCACAGATAAAGATGCGCACATTTGGAACTGTGCAAAGATAGCAAAGGCTGGTGACCCGGACCACGCCGGATGGCGATCTGTTACATCTTCAGTTTGCAGTCGTACCAGATGATGTAATCTTAAGATGTTTTTTGTGTTCATTGCATGTTTGTGTTTGCAGCCGTTTGCTGCTCTGTTCAGTCCCTTGTTGGAATTGGACATCTTGACTGGAAAGTTATAAAAATAATTTTTAGCTACTAATGGTTCTTTTTTGTTAAGTATAAATATACCTCATTCTCTTGTCTGTTTAAAATACTAAATAATAATTCATGATGTTTCTTGGGTCTATTAAAATGTTTGACTTCGTTTTTGCTCTTGAGGGTTTCAGATACAGTCACAATGGAACCAATTTTGTTTGCACCATCTTTATATCGTAATGAATTCTGATGGGTGGGTTTGCATTTTAACTATGGACTTTGATATGGAACTCTCCCACCTAACTGTTCCTCCACACAGCCCCATGCAAGGTGCGGATCATGTGTTCTTTGATCCCTGAAAGTGAGTCTTAATTTCCAATGTAAAACGGGTCGGACAGGACTGGAGACTAACCCAAATGATCGTCGCAATATTAGAGTTACCAGCAGGAGCGCTCGCGCATTTTGACCCCAGTAGTTTACCTATTACGCCGTAATGAATACTGGTTGGCCTTTTGATTGTCTGTTATTGATCGAGGACCCCTGCAGATTCCATCCATTTTGTCGCGGTAAGCTTTCCCTCGGTCTGGGAAAACAAGTGAGGTCGCTATCCTGTTGAGAAAGGGCCGATACGGTATGGATTTTTTTTCACGCGTTGATTAAGGTAATGACATTGCCCATTCTCTTGCATAATGGGAAAAGAGCTGACACGTAAGCGCCTGCTCAGTTCAGCGTGGCGTTCATCGAGGCGCGCGCAATGCCAGGGCACCAGGGACCAGGCTTCAGTAATTGAGCATAAATTGTGACGTTCAGTAACCTATCACAAAACACCACTCGAAGCCATAGCGCATGGAGATATACTAAGCAGTATTGCCTATCGGTGTGTAACAATTAAGGTTCAATACCGAACACATTACATCGATCAGCTATGGTGACTCAAAATAGTTGCACTAAGCGTATAGGATTTCCGTTGTGGGTGTTATAATTAATCCTCCATTGAAAGTTATGCATCTCACATCTTGGGTTCATTGTTCGCCAATCGTCTCTAAAGGATTGCTGAGATGAACTTATGACTTTGGACGAGCTCTTCGCTGAGTCCAGGAAATGCTGATCTGACCTTTACAGTGGTGTCATTTTTCAGTATTCAACATTTTTGTAACATTTACGTTTTCTGTAATCTTTGATTACGTTCCCGAAGATCTGTCACCAATAAAGGTGCGTCTTGGTTGGCAGTACAGCCCTTTATTTAATGACGAGATAAATTCTTTTATAAGCTTTTAACAACAAGGACTGAGAAATCACTACGATATTTGAAGATGTTCGCTCCCCGTGCGCATTTAAATTACTGGTTTCTAATTGCATTTGATCCGGTTAATGTACTCGTTTGAACCTATATCCTGTAGCTTTAGCCGAATAACTATTTTGAATGCGGTAAAATTAACATTTTTGCATTAGGTAACGACATTTTAGCCATTTTTTTGCTTTAGCGGGGACACACCTATGCGAACGACAAAGTCAGAGATGTTCGAATCTTTCCTTCGGATTGCAAAACGTAAATCAGGCAGACGGGGTAATCTGACGGTGCACACAGTAATTTGCTTTTTCTTTCGAACACAACATGCAGATATTTAGTCTGCATCGATCAAGTTATAGTTATTACGTTCTAAGGCTGCTAAAATCAGACTTTTTTCTTAATCGAAACATGTACACTAACTCGCTTGCGCACTGGGAGGTCAGTGAGCTGCGTGTACCAAAGAATTCATTTTGTTTCCTAGCGACTGAAAATGTCTGAAGACTCGCGCTTCGTGCCTGACCACATGCCCTTTTGTCAGTGAACATTTCCGGCAATAGAAAGCGCATTGTGCCTCTTCAGCCCTCACGCCACTCGTGATGCGTAGGTGTGTGCGCGCGTGCGTGCGCGCACTATACGCATATCTGTGCATTTATATGTCAGCTTGCGTTTAATACTCTTCCATAGTCACTGTATTTCACGGTTTTCAGTATGTCATTTTTGAGTGAATAGCGCCGCCTTGTGGTGTAACGCTATGTTTTAGTTTTTGAAAGCTTATCTAGGGAAACCCAATGGAGAAGAGAGGGGACACACCCAGAATGGCATGCCGGTTTATTACAGGACAAACGAATGCTCCGTCCGTCCGTCCATTTTCCACAGGCAGTAATTTAGCACAGGTTGAGGGTGAGTCTGGAGAAGCACGAAGTGACACCTTTGATGGGGTGTAAATGTGCACATTAGAGCCGCTATTATGTCGACTAGAACTGTAATTCTAACATGTTCTTTGGAAGCCCCCAAAACAAATTCGCGATTACATCATTTTGTTCCCTGCAGGCCTGATTTTGTAAACGCAGGGTGGGGGACCGTCTTGAAATGAGTGTCACCTGCCTTTGACACTTATTTACTCAGGTCTCATTCGCCACAGAAGCCTGAAATTTCCCCAATGTTTGCAGTGGGCCAGACGGCCCACCTTTGGGAATCTCTTGTTTGGCTTCTCATCCGCAAGATTCCAAACCCTCGGAAGATTAACAGGTCTATTCTCCAGCTCCCGAGGAATGCAGCCGTCCCGCGGTGCCTTTTGTACCTGCGAGTGGCCGAGGTCACAGCTGCTCTTAGCTCCCGAGTCTCCTGCATGTTTCAGCTTTGCAGTGTCAACAGAACGTAGGATCCTTGAGAGACGTGGGTGGAATTCCGCTTCTTGTTGTAACAGTGCTCGCAGGCCATGACTTTCCTGTTCCATTAAGTAATTAAAGTTTTTCTGTTCTTTTTACAGCCTGTCCAGATCATTCATCAGTATTTAGCCACCTGTCTTTGTCCCAAGTGCATTGACTGGATGCTGGGGCAGCTCTATAGAAACAGGGCTTTACTGGAGGATGTTAAGTGGCCAGATTGATGATCTCTCATGATGCTGACATCTTATTGGCTGTCCGAGGAAACCTTACAGGTTCTGTCTCTGCTGACTGTGTATTTGCACATTTATCCTAATTGTCTTTAGCTGGTGTGTATGTGTCATGGGCAGGGAGAGAGAATCTCTGACTCGGGGTAGGGGGGGGGCAGTCCAGTAAGGCTAACATAAGCTAGCACAAGCTAGCAGCTCAATGGCAGAAGCCCTGAAGCTATATTGTGATTAAATTTCTGCTCTACTTGTTGGCACCTGGAGACCAGGTGGTTAATGCAGCAGCTGGCCTACATGCTTCCCTTCTCCTATTCTCCCAGGGTGCTCCGTAAGTTCTGCCGGGATCTCCCCGCAATGACGATGCATCTCAGGCCAGATGAAGCCGCTGAGCCTGTGATCACGTTCATCCGTTTGGCAGGTGGCATCGCAGAGAGGTATGCATCCAGTGGATTATGTTCTCATGAGACTGTGATGATACGCCCGGCTGTCGTGACACCAGGAGACAGGAGAAAAACGTTCTAGGCAGGAGAACACGTTCTAGGCTTACCAAGAAAAAACCCATTTGCTTCACCACGCAGTGTGAGGTTAGCAACCAGAAGCACACAGGCTTGTCGAAGTGCAGCTGCCATTCTTCAGCCCTTTGGTGTTTTATCAGCACTCGGTGATGTTGCATGCTTTGGACGTTCAGCAAAATTTTATCATGATAACCGTCTTATAACTGCTATGCGTTGTCTTTTCTGAAGGTGTGTTATAGTTGATACTATGTGGTTTTTCAGACATGTTTGTTTAGCTGTGAGAACCTGTGACTGATATTAACACTATGTTATAAAGACAATGGGCCTCATTCACCAACTGTTCTTACGAACAAATTTGTTCTTAAACCCCACGTACACACTTTTTTTTACAAAGATTCTGACCTATTTATAATCCGCATGATCGTCGTTACTACCATGAAAATTATTTTTACACTTTAAAATTATTTTTTCTATTTTACTTTTATAAATTATTAAAATACTATCATTTTATGAACTGTAGAATGAACAAAACTGCTATAACCAATTATTTTGAACAAACTATCATCACTCAAATGTGCGTACGAATGGTCTTGAATGTGCGTAGATTCTGTTCTTAGCTAAGAACAAATTCAGATAAGGAAACATTGGTGAATGTCAGAATCTTTGTAAAAAAAAAGTCTGTACGTGGAGTTTAAGAACAAATTTGTTTGTAAGAACGGTTGGTGAATGAGGCTCAATGTGAACAGGATGATGCAAGCTGTTCTGGGCTTGGAGAAGAGCTCTATCGGGTATATGTGATGGCATTAATACACTTATCTGTCAGAATATCACAATATCAAAACAATTTAATCTTTCAGGAGGGTTAAATAATTAAACCAGTGTCGTCAACTTTGGTCAGCTTGCTGGCGTGAGTCCGCACGCTCATTTACATGTATGTAACAGTTTAATAACCTTGTAATTGGTCTGTAGGGTTAGCAAACTACCCCAACGCTTTTGACGTAGCTAAGTTTAGGTTTATAACTGTATAATATAGATTTGCCGTAAGATTTCTTGCTTGAACGTGAGAGTCTGAAAGCGCGAGTGCCGCGCCAGTTGCGTGAGAGTGGCAAACCCTGCCTTATGGCCTTTTTGGAAAATGTGTCCGCTATTAAATAAATAACGAAATACAATCATATCTGCAAAATGATACTTAGCCGAACTTGACCACAAGATGGCACTGCTGTATCATCGAGTCCACAATGTAAAGAGAACAGAAATTTATTTTATAACTGCATTAATAGGGACAAATACCGTTATTTATCCAGTTGGCAAGCACTACAAAGCGTGGAGGACCCAGCAGCGCCCCTTTTGCGTTTGACATGTAACTTCTCCTGAACCAACAGACGCCATAAAGTCGTGTCCACCCACGTGAACGTCCTTGGATTGCGGGTGAGGTCACGTGCATTGGCGTTACCTTTAGAATGACCGACTTCTTCAGTTACCTAAAAGTAAATGTATGTTATGTAAGATATGATTCTTAAAAGTAAGTTATCGATATTTACTATTTCCTTTTCCAACAAAAAGAAGTAGGTCCATTGTAGTTTCAGTTCTTTTTGCTAGATAGATGTAAGAAAGAGAGCTCAGCTGAAAGAAACGATAGGAAAGCATGATGATTTAAATATGTTTCGCTTTCAGCTGCAGAACAACCTGGAAACATTTGAAGATTCAGTCACAACTAAATGCAGCAGTTACATTCTGTCATAAATGTCAGCATATTTAACAGAAAGATGAGAACACTGAATGTTTTCTCACTTTGAAATAATCACACACTTTAAACTTTACAAATTAACACTTTGGACAGTTAAACGGCGTGCGGCCTCATTGTATATGATCAACGTAAGTGTGAATCTCACAGTTTTCATGTATATTAGATTTTCTCCGTATTAAACATTAAAAATATCGGCTTGTATCCTAGTCTTACAGCAGTTGTTTATACTTTATTTTTCATGTATGCATTGTTGGAAAAAAAGACACAAAACGCAGTGGATACTGACCAATTTTAGCATTTGAACAGGTAGCTTACATCATAATAACAACAATAACCTAATTTTAAACGATTTCCTAGACTTAATATTTTGCAGCAGTTAGAATTTAAATAAAATATCATCATATGTTACACTGTTTCCAAGACATGGTTAAGTAATAAACTATTTTACAATTCTGTAAAAAAATATAATTTATTTTCCCTCCGTTAATTTTCCACAGTAAAACAGGCAAGTGCACAAATCCGTGGGGCATTGTGTCTGTAATGTCTGTTTTTTTTTTTTTAAGTTCACAAAAATAAATTCTGCTCAAAAACTCGATTAGTCCGTATGATTCCAGCGACAGTTCATTTAATTTTGACAGTTCGATAATAAATTACTCGAAATAAGTTTTAATCTCTTTATTCGTTTAAAGATGGTGAGTTTTAAATGTTAAATAAATATCCGGAAATTATTCCGGGCTTTTGGCCTTTCTGTGTATATATTTTTTGTTGTGCGACGTCACGATATTTCTTATTTCAGCTGGAGTTTATTGGCAACCCTAAAGGATGTAAGGAGTGGCTGTCCAGCACCCACGTTCCAATTTGGTACAGAAGCTTCGAGAACCAGTGAATGCCGTCCGATTTCAGGACATCGTTTGCCGTTGCGCCGCCTATTGGAAATAGATATGAGACGAATCTGTAGCTCCACCTGACGGGGGCGAAAGCCCAGTGAGCCCACGCATGGTCCTCTATTACCGCGTAGCACGACGCTAGTACTTGATCGACCACGATGGTCCCTTGTTCTGTAACCGGAGCGAACGAGCTTCTGTGTTCCTCCGTATAAATCCTCTGAACGGTGACTGCCTTCAGCTGGGCTCGTAGGTCATCCGCTACCAGAACCATTTGTCCTGGTTTCACGCTGCTTGCAAAAGCGGCTCTCATGCCGCCGAACAAATCCGTCCTGTTGTCGAGGACGAAGAGGAGATGGGCCGCCGTGAGGGTGAGTCTCCTCATGGGTTCCTGCGTTTCGATCACATAGAAAACTCTCGACGTGTTCACGTCCTGGTCCATGAACATAATGAAGTCGCTATACACGAGGTTCCCTTGACTGTCAGCTGCCAAGACCTTGTCGCCGACCCTCAGGTCGCTGATACGCTTTCGACGTCCGTCTTGGAGGGAGACGAAGGCCGCGCCCGGGAAACAGCCGCCGGATTTAGCTGCAACCGAGTTTTCTGTAAACAGAACACTTACACTTTTAACTCGGCAAAAAATAATACCGCGATAACAGAATAGCAGAAAACTTCTTTTCCACATAGGCCTAAATATGAAATGTAAATAACTCAATGAAACGTAGATATCTTTTAATAATTTAAAATGTAAAATATGCACATTTAGGCCTATATTATTGTAGGCTTACGTATGCAGTTTAGAGAAATACTTTAAAGTGGGTTTCTAATATATGCTAATTCTTAATTTGCATATTATTAAAGAGATACACGGAGAAGATAACTATGCAGCTGAACAAAGCCAGTTTTGTTATCTAAGCCTCTCGACCGGTTAAATAAAATGGGCGTAAGTCCGTGTCTTGGAAAGGCTGACTTAGCGCTACTAATTAGAAAGCAATTCGGATTTGTCTTGGTGCTTCTGCGTTTCCCAGCTGCTATGTCCCTATTTGCTCAGGTGCAGAAGCCCCCATGCGCTAATTCACGCACATACTCCCAGACACCCTGGCAGTTGCAGCGCGTATTTGCACAGCGGAGCCGACTTTGCAAGGCAACGAAGTCCTGCGTTTGAATTGCAAATTAAAGTATAGTTGCCCTAAATACTTAGAGCAAGCCTGTCACTGACGCCCTGTTATTCCTACTAACACAATCCGCTACGTTGTCTATCCAGGTTTTCGGAGCGAGCTTCATTGTGCTCCGGCGTTTGGGAGCAAAGGCCTGCGTTCGGTAAACAGAGATAATCAAAATTCCCGGTTTTCACTTAAGCGTTTATTCATAATGCAAGTTCTTGGCCGTGAAGTCAATTGAAAATCTGATCCCGCCTTGGTTCCAATATGTCATTGTCTTAATCGTTTCAGGGACAGATCCCATAATTGACAAGCTTTACAATGTTGTCCTTAAGGATCTCAGGATGAATTTTAAATTTATACGTTATAGGCTTGACTGCGAATAGAACTTAGGATGCTGTTTTTCCAGAATTCGTATATGTATATCGTAATTATAAGCACTATAATTAACGAAAGCGCCACTTTTGCATCGATAAAACAGTTGTTCTGTGTAAATGATTCGTTTTTTGACTGCTGCATTTACGAATAAGCAGGCCAAATAGTAGCATTTTATTGGGGGGAGGGGGGCGTTATTCATTTTTAAGTGCAATAATAGTGGAACTTGGTGACAAACGATGAAGAAATGGTTCTTGATACATATTTTGGTACCGTCTACGTTTATTTGTCAGATATTTAAGCTAAAGCTTAATAAACAACTGTGCAAAGTTTTGATGTATTTGTAGCGGCTGCAGTACACCTAAAACAAAACATAACTGGATGTATAATGATTATAACAATTGAAACGCAACCCGTTTGAATGTTTTCTTAAATGTGGAGGGTTTTAATTAGTAAACACTAATGAGCACTTCGGGTTAAACGGACAGACCCGCATAATCCAGTCGCGAGGATAACTCCATGCTCCGCACCAAAGCCTTTGGAGAAATATTTGGGGAGACACAGGATATGCACCCACACAAACTCGGAACTTCCATTGTGTTTTATTATCCCAAAGACTGTAAACATTGGTAAAGTCAACGCCCTCACCTGCTTTGACCGAGCAATGAATGTGGGCTTTTGATTCATAATAAACCCAATCAAATCCAGCCTCCACCGCAAGCCTGGAGAGGGTTCCGTACTTGCTTTTGTCTCTGTCAGAGGTGGTTATATCCACGGCTCTTCCCTCGTAATGTAGGGACTCGTCAAAGTGATTCCCGTCCTCGTCCCAGCCTTCTGTCACACGAAGCTTGACTCCCGGCCACTGATTCATGACCGAAATAGCCAACGAGTTCAGCTTATCCTTGCATCTCTGAGAAAAGAGAGAGAACCTTCAAGAAATTAACGTGCAAATGATATTGATCTTAAATATAACATGTGTTCATTGCGACCCTGTATAATACAGGCTGTATTAGATAAGCGGTTTGGAAGATGGGCGGATGAATGGATGTGTAAATATTTACACCGCAATGCAATGGCCAAGTCCTGAGTTTCAGCGGGAAGATAAAGCGGTATTTAAATCAATATACATAACCCGAGGTATTGCTTTGTTTGGAATGGTCTTGGATGAAAACAATGCATTTTTATTTTTACATTTACTAAATTAACATCCCTTACAGATACCTTCTTTTTGAGTGCAGTACAGTTTTGAAATCTTGACTGCAGCCATTGATTTGGTCAGTATGATCGCGAAGTAGAATGGCCTGAAGCTCAGCCTAATGTGTTGATCAATTACATTTTAAGACATGTTTTTAACGTTAAAGTTTGCATATGATTTGCTGTTTTTAAGACAACAAATCCCGTGTCCATTAATCAGAATAAAACGATTAGCCATTTAAAACCGGATAGTAATTCAAGAAACATTACATATTTTGCATTTTATCAGTACTTATGCCATTCAGCGTGGGCCTATGGTCCAAACACCTCCGCGCCACCTCCACCAGTTCTAAAGAACTGAGCAGACGACACTAAAGCCACGATTGCAATAAAACCTGAAACATCTGCATGCATTTACAGGTGACCTGTCAGAGACATTGTAAAATATTAGGAACAAACGATGCAGATAATCGTTGCATGTGGCGCGCAGGGATAAGAAACGTCTTCAGTCTCGTTCAGAAAGAACCGCCAAGACTATGTATTAATTCACGGGATCATGCGCCGCAAATCAAGCCGCATTCTGCCCGCCTACCTCGAAGCTCGGCGGGGCTCTTTCTAGGGCTTTGTGCCCAGATAAATTTGTTCGACAACCGCTTACTACAGCCTCCTAACCTCTTCACAGATTAACTGGCGCTGGAAACACTTAACAGCTACCTGACATAATAACACAATCAAGATGAGCTCGTTAAATTTCCTCCTTGATTTGCAAGAATTTCATACTACATATTGCAGCTTATAATGATTTTCAGTCTGTCGCTGCTGTAAAAGTGGAACTTAAACATAATACGTTCGATCTTACATTTTACTCAACATTTTGAGTTGAGTAAATATCTTAGGAGGTAGCATATAGTTGTACCCTTTTTAAAATACTTCACTTAAAACTGGGACAGTTTAACTATAGTTTCAATACATAATGAAGAATGAGTCGCGGGAAACTGATCGCCATGAGCCTGAAAAGATACAGAGAAGGACAGACTCGTCCCAGAGTGACAGTTTCCAATCAAAGCTACATTCACCTTCATAGAACTACCCATCCATCCATCCATCCTTCCATCCATCCATCCATCCATCCATCCATCCATCCAATGCAGTACGACAGGACACACTCCACCGAATTGCTAATACAACTTCCACCTGTCCCGAGCGATAAAGGACCAAAAACCGAAGTGTTTTCCTTTGTACATACCACAGTCCCGAACGACGATGACCGCAGGTTACTAGACTATATTAAAGTGGTTCGTTCCGTCATTGTCTTATAAAAGATAATGTATCCGCGATCCTGCATATCATGCATTTAAAATCCACTCAATTATCATCTGGACGTACAAAACAGAAAAGTAAAAAGGCTTCCTAAGTATATCATCTAGTGAATCAGAAGATTACAGATCCACGCTTCCTCATACACTTACAGTGTATAATGAGACCCAATTAACATCAACGGGCATCACTGCTTAAAATACCAGAGACGCGAAACACGACAGGAAGATACTTATACTAACCAGAAGTCACAGATTTCTTTCCAAATAATCTTAAATGCACCTTCCCTTATAAGCGGATCACCACATTTTCACCTGTAGACAAAGGTTTTATGTTCGTATCTAGTCCCAGAGTCCATCACCATCCAACGTAATGGTCTACAGAACATCCCTTCTTAGAAACGACGATATTTCCCTGATGAACACAGCTGAGAATAGGTGTATCCTGCCAGTTAACCTCTGACGTCCAGACTCCTGTAGGATACCGGCGTGTTTTATTCCCGTCTATATTTAGATGTCATGTGATTGACATAGAGCAAGAGAACGAGAGTGGACTAAATTTAGAAGATGAGTGTATGTACATTGTGCGTCTATGCATACTTAAACTTACCCATTGAAAACCCAATTTAACTTGCGCAGCATGAATTTGTAATACATATTTGAGATGCGACGTCATATTTTTAATGGATTAATTGTGCCGGGTGATTTCCGATATATTTATGAATTCTCTTTCAACTGCTACTATGGAAGTTCTTGCAACACAAAGCACAGAAAATGGATAGTGGATTTAAACTTTGGAGATCATTTAAAGGTTAGTTAGAGGTACGATCCAAGGAATAAGCTCGAGTCCCCCAGCGTACCTGTGTCATCAGTCTGTCCGCACTCGTGTTCTCTTCATCCTTGAAGATAATGTCAGGATTGTAGTTAGGAGTCAGCTCCTTAAACCTCTCGGAGTTCCTCGTGATCTTGCCCTCGTATCTGCCACTGGCCCCCAGCGTCTTCTCAGCGACGTTAGGGATGAACTGTTTGTACGCCAGAGGGGTCAGTTTCTTCGGGTGTCTCCGGTTTTTGCCGAATCCCCTGCCCGGTCCGCACGCCAAGCCGGAGGACGCCAAGGAGACGCAGACGAAAGCCGTCAGCATAAACCTCATTAACGTCTGCATTTCGCCAGCTGACTGAAATAATTCATAAGCCGTTGCACATGTAGCCGGCAGTATTCGGGCTCACTGCTACGCTCCGTCCCGTAAACCCTCCAGCGCTGCGTTTTCCCTCCGGCTGTGGTATTTATCCAGTGATCCGCACCGATGCAGGTGTGTAAACGGCAGCGTCTGCTTTGCTGGTAACTAAAGGCATCGGAACAGAGTGTCTGCAGCAGGAGATTACAAAAGAAACGACTTGTGGACGCAATTCTAAGCGGGATACAACCGCTAGTGAGGGGAGTCTGGCTTTAATACTGTGTATTATAGCTGTGATCTATGGCGGGGAAGACAGCTGATTGGCTCAACCAGACAACCCCCTCTGATGTTTAAATCTTTAGATTTTTTTTGTTTTTCACCTGAAGGCTGGATTTGAAGGGAGGGGCTGAATTCAATGGAAAACATCAGTCATGCATTCAGAAAAGCATGATAGAACTTAAATATACAATTTTCAGACACTGGCTTTCCTGTAAATTGTATATATATACATATTCTTTGTGTCTCAACACTGACTCATGTGAGTATTCTATAAAGAACGAGCGCACACGATTTGCTTACATGTGGTCAAATTGACTTTTACATTGACTTAATTGCCTAAACCGTATTTAAAACTTGTCGATTCAACTGGACATCGGAATTTTAAGTAGGCCAGTAAAATTACCTTTTTCGTGCACAAGAAAATCAAATTGAAACATTAATTCTCAAAGAAGTGGTCATAAACAATTACAATGTATAAACCTAAATACATAAATATTTTTCTTTTATATTATGTGCAGCAGGTGGCTGTTACACGTAAAACAGCTGTGGCGATGCAAACGTAACGGTATAAAATGAGACGGATCAATATTTTCCATATATTGATAATCATAACACACAGCGGGTCTTTTTCAAAATAATTCCCCGAAGGAAAGACCGCATGGAGTTTATCGTGCTTATCGAACATAACCTATAAAGTGGTTTATTTAAAATAGGCCTACTAAATTGCAAATATATTTTAACATATTAGTATTCAGGACACACAATAATTTGACAGTTATTTAGACATGCTTCGCTGGGTTGCTGTGCACGCAGAACTGCCAGTAACCGAAAGAAACCTGACATGTTAAATGCGCGAACGAGGCTTCCCACCTGTCCGTAAGACTAACTGGATAATCAGTTAGTGAAAATATATGGATGTATGTTTTAGCCTGGGTCAGTTACAATAGAGAGGAAACTGTTTAATCTGTAGAAATATCCTGGGTGACAGCAGCAAATAATTTACTGGAGAAACTCCACCGAAGGTTCCAGATTCTCCAATTTAACTTCCTAGTTGCATTACCGCAAATGAAATAGCATTAAAATATGAGAAAACCACACGACCAATTACGGCAAATGCCTGGTCATGTATCACAAACATTATATCACAATATATTAACCAGAATAAACAGCCAATCATTTAAATGCACAAGCAGTAGCCCGGCTGTCACCGGCCACGAGGACTCCGTCAGACTGCCCCTCCCCGCCCGCACGCAGCCTCGTGCCTTCCCGGCGGCTCCACGCGCAGTGCCTGCACCCCACTTTCCGTTTGCACTGTGGAAGTATCCAAAAAGGAGGATTAGATGTAAATTTACGTTAACCTCTCCCACTTCTTTCTGTTTTGCTAATATTTCGTAAGGAGGTAGGGCAAGCTTTGGCTTCCGGTGGGGAAATTAATTTTCTGAAGTGGGGCTGATTAGCCTACATACTATAGTAGGGGTGTCAACTCCAGTCCTGGGGGGCCGGAGCCCTGCACAGTTTTTGGTTCACCCTCATTTAACACACCTGATTCAACTCCTTGTGCTAATTATCACACAGCTCTTGAGCTGAATCATTTGAGGTACAACAGGGAATGAACTAAGCTACACAGGGCTCCGGCCCCCCAGGACTGGAGTTCGACACCCCTGTACTATAGCAGCTCCATGATGCCAGATTAGCATATCAGCACTTGCATTTGATTAGCTGTCATCCTGTGAAGGTCGGACCCGCTGACCTGCTTGGCCTGTCACTTCACAGCGTCAATTGGCCGTCCGCCGATGCTTTGCAGAAGCTTGGGCGTGTGCGGGATCCTCCCGTTAACTGGCATCTGTAAATTGCCCATAATGGCTGACTTTGAGTGTGCCCAGTGATGGACTGGTGTCCTGTCCAAGGTGCACCGCGACTGCGCCTTGTGCCCTATGATATAGGTCCCAAATACTCGGCTCAACCCTACATGGGATAAGCAGTCGTAAGATGAATTGATATCTAACTGTTACATAAGCTCTATTTTTAGAATACAAAGCACAGTGCTTTCATATGACTGACTGTCACCTGTCAGTAGGTATCATGCTATTTTGTCTAACAGTAGCCTGAATGGATTTTAACCAGTGACCTCAGACCATGAATCCGCCGCAGGAATGTCAGAACTTAGACACCTTACAGTGTATTACTCATGTCAATTAAGGTTTCATGTAACAGTCATGATCTCGATGCATCAATAAGTTAGAAGATTTGTTCAATTCTTTGGATTGGGATACCTTCCACTTTTCTGATAGTGACTGAAAGAATTGAAAGTTTTCTTCAATGTTTTGTGCTACTTCAATAGAATGTACTTTGTCACCATCTTCCCTCCCTTGCATTAAATCAGATGGCCACACTGACATTGGGGTGGTATGAAAGGAGATGGCTTTCAGGTCCTGCCGGCTATATGGCAGATCTTGTTGGATGGCTGGCAGGAAATGCTGGCTCTCTGTGACACCACAAGGTCACCCTTCCATGCAGTGTTGCTGTCGGTCATGGAGACCTCCGTCAAGCCTCAACCAAACTACTGTCACCCCAACCGATTTCAGAAGGCAAGATATAGCCAGCAAAACTGACCAAAATAAGCATCTCCTATAGTTTGAGAAGGAGCATGTAGCAGGGTTTGGGGTTGTTAGGAAATTCGTCTTGGAACTGAAATGTTGCACTGAAGTTCTGATTCCGGCATTAAATCAAAACTCCAGATTCTAGAATCTGTAGACACTTAAGCTGCCTCACAGAGAATATTTAGCTAATTATGTGAGTGATCGCTTGGGATAAAAGTGTGAGGTGAGTGAATAGGAAAGCTGGCTGGTGGAATCACTCTTCCATGCACCTTCATGCTGGACCTTGAGCCGGAGAGCTACTCATGGAATGACGAAAGAGCGGCTCTTTGTAGGCCAAGGTGTGGCTGAGTGAGACTGACATGCAGACAATCATATCCAGCCTTATTTAACGGCGTGAGTGAAAAGCGTCCGTGACTTACATTGATGCTTAAACATTCATCATTGCAGTCTTTTTATTGTAAAATTAAGTAACTGGAAACGGCAAAAAAAAGAAGAAAAAAAACACTAAACCCCCCCCAAAACAAACCAGATCTTTTGTACGTCGACTGACAGTTTTTTCAATTAGTAGCTTAATTTTGCTCAAACCACAGGAAACTATCCCTCAGAATTTTATTACTTGTTAATTAGAATCAAAGCCACTTCCATCAGTACTATAGAAGCACCCTGCTTCATGTCTCTGCTGCCACTGGCCTTGCAAGCGTCACTAAGACATTATTATTGCTGCCATTAAAGCGGCTTTTTGTGGCCGCAGGAGTGTCTGGTCCTCTTTTACTGACCCGCATTCTGTTCTTCTTATGTGACTGACGTCAGACCCACCTGTTCCCACGGTAACAGAACAAATTGGTCGGTGGTTACTCTCTTCCATGAACTTTGACCTCAGAGAAAGGCACCCCCATTCCACGTGTCTTGTGGTGATTGTAGTCTGAATCTCACCTCTGACTCCCCCTTCCCGAGAGCCCGCGGGAGGCTCTGGCTGATGAATTTCGGTGCAGAGAGGAGGGGATGTAGAGGGATCAGGATAGAAGTGTTTAATAGTTGAGCTGAAGCCTTGAAGCAGCTCAAAGGGAGCAGAAGAACTTTCTGGAACCGGTGAGTTTATGCTGCAGTCCAGTGAAGCAGCCACGCGAGGCTCTAACCTGCGTCGGAGGGCACGGTGACCTTTGAACTGTTGCTCCTGTGAGATGATACACTGCTTCCCTGTCTGAGAAGGAGGGGGGTGGGGGGGTCGTGTGCTGCACTTTCCCAGGTCAGCACTGGAATAGCGTGTGCTTGATGGCTTACAGGACGCACAGGAAACAGTTAGATGTTCCAGGGCAATTAGACGTCCTTCTAGACTTTGTACGTTAACCTTACACTGATCAGAGGTCAGTGTTATGGCAGAATAATTGTCATCATAAATTATAGGCGGGGTATAGGACACACAATTATCATCTATGAAGAAGCCTCATTTGTGTCCTCAACTTCACTTCAGACACACGTTATTTCATCCATCCATCCTCCTCTTTCTATCTAAATCTATCAATCTATCATGGTTGTGGAGCATCTGGAGCTCATCCCAGGCACCACAGGGCAGGAGTTATTCCATGGTGCAGCTACCATTTTCATAAAAAAAATACACAGCTTATGATTTTACAAGCCACCCACAGCTGTACATTACTCCGCAGAACCAGGACGTAAGAACAGGGTCAGTATCAGGCCTCGCGTGGTTCTCCTGTCCCACGCAGGTGCACCAGGTCTGCAGCGCTAAGCAGACTCACTCTTCAGCTCTGAAGACTTCCAGATTTTTGTGGCGCGAAGAACAGTCAAGAACTTTCTAGGAATTTGGACCTAACACACATACTTAAAAAAAAAAAAGATGTTTAGGACAAAGAATTACCAGTGAAAGAAATTAAATTAGTACAAAAGCTATATCACACGTTAAGAGGCTTTCTTGAAAAAGTCTTGAGGATTAAAATATGTTAGAGAAACGTTCTACAGTGGGTAAATATCACGCATGCTCACATGCAGATTTGAGAACCTGTGTAACTTTACCATCCGCTCACCTGCCCTGAGCCATAATTCCCAGCAATTCCCAGTAAGTCACACTTTCTGCCTGCAGTAATACTTTTCACCACTTGGACCATCGTGTTCCCACAATGTTGCTTTAAAAATACACAACATACTGTTAGAATGAACCAAATTCTCCTGTCCAAGATAAGGGGCCAACTGCTCATTGTGTGTCTTTAAAGAAAATCGTCTTCCTCTGCATGGTGTCACAAGCCGCTGAACGTCGCCAATCGTAATGGAAAACTTCACTCGGCTTTTTAAAATGCAACACACTCACGGAATCGAAAGCCAAACCCGTCATCCAGCGTGACAAG